ACTCAGATATTTCGGATTTTCTTAACATATTTAAATAAGGACAATAAGCTATTTTTATTGTTATATTCGTAACAATAAAATCTAAATTTCTAATTTTACACCAATTACGAGCATTCCCTTTTTACCTTTTCTCCATCCGCAGTGGTTTCACTTCTATATTGAACATTGATCTTGATTCTCAGTGTCATTACAAACGTCATGTCGTTTGTTATATTAAATTGTTAATGAAATGCAGTGAATGCAGAAAAATCAAGTCTTTAAATATAGGAAAAGTGGTTTCTAGAAAGTGCGTCATGAAAATGAATGACATCTCACTGAACGAAAGTAAAGAGTTTTGATTGTATATTACGTGAAGACATCAGTATAAACATTATTTGGCATAATTTTAAAAAAATTGGTTATGTTAATTAATTACTTAATCTGATTATTTCAGATTTAAAAGAAATTTACTTATCATTAGTTCTCACCAATGTGAGAATTTGAAAGTTCATGGTTAACAAAAAAAACGTTTATAAAAATGTGCTGAAAGTGCGAGAAAAAAAAAACTGGTCATAACTTATGCTTTGCTGTTTATATTGATATTGTAATCCATTTTATTTTATGAATGAAATAATTCTAATACCAAATAGTTTTACTCTTTTGTGCCGCCTTACTCCGCCTTGTCTCGTCCTGCTTCGCCTTGTCTCGTCCTGCTCCGCCTTGTCTCGTCCTGCTTCGCCTTGTCTCGTCCTGCTTCGCCTCGGTTAAAAAGTTCAACAAATGAGCGGTAGAAAATAATTTTGAGAGTTAAAAAAAAAACTCAAAATATTGTTAATATAAACTAAATATAAGATTTTGGTGTTCAGACATTAACACGCCTGACATTTTTTAAAAACTATATTTTAACTAAGATTTTTGAGGTAAAAAAAAAGCCAGCTTCATAATTTAATTCTAAATCATGGGTTTCAGTAATTAAAAAAAATTAGGGTTTGGGTGTTTAATTACTTTCCTTGCTTCACATATTTATAATAGATCAAGTATTTTAGAATCAAAATAAAGTTTCTAATTGTTAAAGTTGTTTAGACCAAAATCATTGATTAGTTTAATATAGCATAATTTAGGGTATTTTAACCTTCAGAATTTGTTTAGATCGATCGATTTTTAATAATTATTGAGGCTGTATGAAGCGACATAAAAGAGAAATACCAAACAATTTGCGATGAAGAATTTATATTATTACACTAAGCAATGAATAATATATTAATAATTGTTAATATTTAAACAGAACTTATAGAAAATTCCAAATACGCATGTAGGGGTCAGGTAATGTGGATGTTATCAAAGTAGGGATTATTAGTTTTTACAGGTGGTTATCTTCGGATAATGTCCTTAATCCAAATGTGTGCCCCAATAAGAGATAGATGTCACAAGAGGCCCACTAACAAAAAATAAAAGACGTGAAATTTGACAGGTCAACAAGAGGACATGAAATGACAAACTTAAAATTAATGCAAAAATTATTTACATCACATATAAAAGTACGTTTTCGGATAAAAGGAACATAAGCAAACAATGAATCAAATAATGGAGGCAGAATTAAGTAAATTGAAGGGAATATTGACCGCGGCTAGAAGATCTAGATAATATATTTGAGAATAAATGTTAAAAGTAGAGTCCAAATAAGTTTAGTTGGCATGTAAATTCAGCTAAAGTGTTGAAAAGTTGCTGGTTAAGTCCAGTGATGAACCTTCCGTAGTATTTTAACTGAAGTGTACGGAGTAGGTTATTTGAAGTCTGGACGATACAGCCAAAGAGATGAAAGTTCAATTTAAATGTCCAGTGCTGGCGTTGCGTAGTTGCTAGTTAAGTACAATGTACTTACGATTTTAACCGAAGTGTACGAAGTTGGTTGTTTGAGTCTGGATGATATGCATGCACCAATTTCCTAAACCATATAAGGCTGATAGGAAAGCCGGAAGCAGGGACCTAGTTTAGGGCTGTTGTAAGCAGGTCCATTAACGCCGATCAACCAGGTGAGTTAGGTTGAGATAAACATGCCAGAAGTAGGGACCATGGTATAGCCGGAAGTTCAGGTCCGTTAACGCCAGTCAATCAGGTGAGTAAGGACCGGAAGTAATAAAGGCCAGGGATGCCGGAAGATAAGGGTCCATGTTGGCCAGAAGTAATAAAGGTGCCATGAATGCCGGAAGTAAGAGTGGATAAGAAAGCCCAACTAGCGTTCAGTTGGTAGAATAAAAATAAATGGACACGTAATTCAATGCATAACTCGTCTAAGCTCCCTGGTCACAAAGACCAGGGTGCCTACATTTCACCTCCACCTCGTCCTCCCCTTGTTTCGGTGAGAAATCGCCGGGTTATATGGTATGGAACAATAGTAACATTAACTGGGCCTGCAAAGTACTAAAAATCACAAGAAAATAAATTCAGAGGTACTACGAAGTATAAAAAGGTTCACAAAGAGTATACAGACTAAGTTCGTAATATTCAAACAACTAAAAAGACAAGAGGCTTATTACGACCCTAAATAAACATGCTATTTTAAATTGAAGGGAGTTGAGCAACATAATGAAGAAAAGGTCAAGGTCATGAAGATATGTAACGACTGCTATGATCACGTGAAAGGATTAGCGAAGGGTTACGATAACACCAATTTATGGCCTTTTAAAATGCATGCAAAGATAATTAATACAAAGCTATATATTGCATGTGCTGTTAAAATTTATATCTCTTAAAATAAAATATACAATATTTAAAGAGTTCATAAGTTCCTATGAAAAAGTTCTCGTGTTGAACGTTTAAGTCCTTTAGCATATAATAGAGAGGGAAGAGAAAAGAATTCTTGTAAATGTGTATGTAACTATGTATGTATCTCGTTGATAGCAGTCATCCTTTCTATTCTCTTAGGGATTTTTAAATATCCGAATTTTTAGGGTATGGCAGAGCGGGCGAAAATTTCATTAACTCTGTTTTTGTCTGGCCTGTCTCTATCTTTTTTACTTTTTTCGAGACAATGGAATTCACTCTAGAATTGTTACTTGATTTTTGATTGGGTCACAGATGTGACTCATGACTAACCCTTTTTCTTCACCTATATTTAGGAATGATAAACTTCTGGCCTCTTTTTTTATTTATTATTATTATTTTTTTTTTATTTTTTTTTCTTTATAGCAAACCATTTTGGTTTGCCAACTTTTAGTTTTCTATTTTTTATTTTTGAAATAGTGAACATTATATTTTTCTATCACTATAAGTATACAAGCATACAGGATAACGTTTTCCGTTGACAAAATTATATTGAATCAACTGCGAGGAAAGTTTTTCCACCGTGTCGTGCTAGATAATTTTTCTCACCAGAATCTATGTTACAAATTTATAAGTCTACCATTCGTCCATGCTTTCAATATTAGTGTCACATCTGGTCTAGTGCTTCTGCTATATATTTAGAGATTCTTAATAAAATACAAAGAAGAATTTGTAATGTTATTGGTCCCGACATGGTCCTTAGTTGCTCCATTGCCTTGCTTGTGGTGAAATGATTAAAAAAAAGCTTTTTTTTTTTTTAAAAAAAATTCATTCTTGTTTTCCTGAAACTGCATAAAAGTTGTCTATATATATGTATATGTTGTACGGCTTTCATTAATCATTTTTAAGAAGATGATTTGAGATGATACGGTTTGTAAATTTCAAGAATATGTCATTTGAAACCGCTTACAATATATACAAAATCATATATATATATATATATATATATATATATATATATATATATATATTGGTTAAATCTGTATATTTCTTGAAATTTAAAACTATAACATCTCTGTTGATGTTCTGTTGGAATTTAATTTGAGAACAATATTTTACAAGTTCACATTCTCTCTATTTTTCCAATCCTCACTCTAACCTCTTTTTACTTTCAAAACCGGCTCCCAAAGCCTTGATTCTTATCAGAGATAAGAATATATTTTCTGACTAACGAGAGAGCTGGAAAATATAAAAAGGAATTCTACCACCATTATTCTTTCCATGGTGCCATAAAGTCTGGGGGAAGCCTCACAGCTTGTTCACTCCGACCTGTTTTCATTACTTTCAAAACCGGCTCCCAGGCCCTGATTCTTATCAGAGATAAGAATATATTTTCTGACCAATGAAGGAGCCAAGAAAATTTGTTCAACAATTTTAGAGGGAAAAGTCCCCAATTCTTCAGAGCCTACCAAATCTCCATAAATTTGGAGAATCTTTGCCTCTTTGGCAGTGAGACTTCAGCCCGCCATCTGTGAGGTCGACGATAGGGGGCTCCAGTCAACTTTAGAACCACTTTCGCCCAAAGAAGAACTACCTACTAAAGGGCTGTCAAGAACGAATGTCAGCCCACAATTCAAGACCAATTCAAATCTGCATCCCTTCACCACTCCTTCTGGTGAACCCACTGGATTTCTGTTGTCACTCAACTGCAAGATTCCTATATCTACCAACAATTTTCCTACTCTACAAGAACTGTGAGTGTTTCTAAACCTTAACAAAATTCTACTCGCTTAAAGAACTTTTTAGGCGCTAAGAGAAATATTTTGAGCAAGCCTTTTTTCTGTTATGAACATTTTCTCTTCCCTTAAAGGACATTTTCTCTTCTCCCTTTCTTTCACTCTTAATTGTCTTTATCCCATTACCCCTTTTTTTCAGTATATGTAAATAAACACTTTCTTCTTTTATTGTTACATACCGAGCAGGAGTTTTTTTTTTCTTTATACGCCCGCGCCTAAAAGAGAGACATTGTCCACTCTAATCTTGCTGTATTTTTACTCGCGTTTTGTCGTAATTTTTAACCTCAACCCTTGGATGCGGGAAAGCCGGGACAGATTTCCCCGCAGTTCTTGATAATGACCAATGGTTGAAAGTTCTATGACATGTACATGCAAACAGTTATTATATACACACTTGAACCAAACGGCTGTTAACTTATATGTTTACAAGAGAAAATTACTAAAACTGTTAACAACTGTGAATTAGATTGTAAGTAAGTCCGCGTTTAATTTACGGAAAATTGTTTTCATGAAAGAAAAAACGGGACAGCTACACAGGCAAAAGGAAGACACTGAGACAAACAGAAAGAAAGTGGGACAGCTAGGGAGACAGACAGCTAGAGAGACAGAGAAAAAGGCGGAAAGGAAACTGCTTTTTACTCATTTGGACACGTTCCAAGAATGTCCAAAATAATAAGGTCAGAACAAAGTTATTTTTTATTATTTATTGACTGTAGAAATGTAACAGTGAAAAAAAACCAAAAACAAAACAAAACAAAAAACAATGGCAGTAGAAGTTAGTTTCATCATTCTTATTTAGGCTGTTGCGACGTCAACTCTCATATTCATTTCATCATTGTACAATTCAATCCATATTTATTGGTACACTTTACTGAAATCTTCTTGTTGTAAAGACACTCTCAGCATGGAATTTTAGAAAGAATATATAATTTGAAATATCTCCCAGAAATCCCTTGTAGAAGGAAAGGAAATAGAATGCGTTTCTCTTTTATCTGCTTTAAACTTTACGAAAAATTTAATTAATCGTGAACGCATTCGCCATTTTGCTTTCTCCATTTCTTCCCACCAGAACATCATACAAACATCAGATATTTTATTTCCCTGACAGTATACCACTAGAGAAAATCAAACTGACTGAAACTAATGACTAAAAAAAATATCTACTTTTAAAATTTAAATGGTGAGTTTGATCTCAGCGATAAGATCGTGTATTTTATTATTATTATCTAATGGAAACCTTGAGACCAATTAATATCTTCATAGTACAAAGACAACAAATCCTTCAGGGAGTTTGTGTGTTCGTGTCCTTTTGATTCTGCGATAATTTTTACCTTAAAAATAAAATATATAATAAAAAAAAATTAATAATATATGTAATAATAAAAGAAGTTTGGAATATTTGAAATATAATACATTGTTTAACGAATTATCTTAAGAATTACATTAAAATTTAAATAATTCTTCAGAGGATGAACTGAGGAATCATAGTAAATAAGAAACAAAGTAAACATTGGGAATGAACTACAAAATGTTTCGGTATCCAAAGACATGTCCACCCATTCTGAATACACAATATGTGTAGGGGGAAATCTTGCATGTTCATATTACTGTTTTGGTTCAATTCAGGAATTGTGCTTTAGCTTATTTGAAATTTTTCTTTATTAACTCTGAAGTTATAAATTTACAATAAAAGGAAATTAAAATTGTATGCGTGGTGATTACATTTAAAACAGAATTTCGAAGTCTCTAATACAACTTTTTACCCTGAATGTAAAAACGTTAAACTTTGGATTAAAAAAAAAAAATTAAACTCCAACAAGTGCCTACTATATTAATTTTAAATTCATCTTTTTTTTAATTTGAAGTTCAAATTTTTTTTAATTTGCGGGTAAAAAGGACAGTGAAGAGGCTTAATTTGTTATTTTTGTTTTTAAAATAACCTGTCTTTAGGAGCGAAATGTGATAGACTGATAGTCGCCAAAAACACAAAGTTTTTGGTGCAAGTTGCATTGAGTTTATAGCACTGAAAGTAGATAATAATTAAAGTTGAAATAATTTTGGGAATCACTTGCTGCATCGAAAACTGAAACCAAACAAAACCGATCTGTTAACGAATATGACGAAATGAATAAACAAAGAACATTTAAAACGCCTCGGTGTACATATATTAATTGGAGCCCCTATAAACATTGTACTTAATATCGGAATTTGGGAAAACAGAATGCGTTTACTACCTTGTCTTACCCCAGGTCTCGGTTAATGACCCGGTAAGGGATTGTACTAAACAGAAAATAAATACTACTACTACTACTAATAATAATAACTGAGCAATCGCCCTGTGCACATGAATGGATCCTGACAGATGTTGCGGTACCTTGAGATAAGATCATAAAGGTAAAAGAAGCGAAAAACACAGGTACGTAAAGCTGGCAGGGCAAATCAGAGAAATATATCAGTATCTAAAGTTGTCCCATTTTGTGTTTGGCGTACTTGGAACTATTTACAGAAAACTTTATGTCTCGCCAGACGTCTTGGGGATACCTGACATCATAGGGAGTGCACACGGGACAGCACTGTCTGGAACAACTCATGTACCGAGGAAAGTGTTTTGTCTCTATGCTGCAAGTGTTTTATCTCTAAGCTGCTGATCAACACCACTCTGTCGAAACAGAGTCGGAGAGAATATCAAATATTTCAATCTAACTAATAATGTTATTATTATTATTAGTTAGAGTGAAATATCCGAGTCTTGTTAGAGAAGTGAAAATATTGCGCAACATGAATGTGTTATAACTCACTCCTAGCGGTTATAATATTATGTCTTGCTCTACGTGACGTCATTAGAATTCTCTCCGACTGACTCCAACGGATTGGTATTTACCCAATCTCCCCATTGAGGCCAATGGTGAAAATTTACCCAGCCCCCTGCAACCACGGGATCGGGCGCTTTGCATTATCTATTTTTCTCAGCCGAGTCTCCGTCCGTATACAGAACCCCGACTGAGTTGTATGAAGACAGAGAGCTTGACAATCGCGAACCGGATTGCCTGACTCCAACTGACTTCTCCTGACTCACTTTGAGTTCTTTATTTAAGGCGTCTTGCCTAGTTCATTTGTGTTACCGAGAGTGTCTTATTTAATCTACAACAGATAGTCATACCCATCATTATTAGGATACTTGTAACACTTTCAAAGAATTTTGTGAAACGATCAGAAAAAGTGTAAATACCAGGAAGAAATGACATCGTTTCAACGACAGTGAAAATAGCGAGGAGAGTGCTGGAGTATTGAAGAAACTTGTCACTTGAGATGAAGTGAAGTCTCCTGGATATGGTTGGTGAATAACATAGGAAAAGCAAAGAAAATATTAAAGAAAATGTGAAAATAATAATAATAATAATAATAATAATAATAATAATAATAATAATAATAATAATCTGGAATTTGGATTGAATGTAATGAGCCCCAAGAAAAAATATGAAAATAAAATTTATAAACAAAAATAAAAATAATTCAAATTCGTTTTCTATCAAAAGTCTTTTTTTCTCTCTTTCTCCCACAATCTCTCCATCTCTCTATATACTTCTCTCTCAACTAACGAGAAGGCAACACTCAAATAAAAAACAGGAAGATAAAGTATAAGTGTGAACCCGACCGCAAAACGGCGGAAGTTTTCTGAACCACAGTCTTGCCATTTGTGACTAAAAACTAGCGAAAATTAGAGAGGCTCCACGGATAACTTCGATTATATATATATATATATATATATATATATATATATATATATATATATATAAATAAAAAAAACGACAGGGACGCCGAAAGATAAAATAATTTTGGCCAATCCAAAAGATTAACACAAAGAGACTTCTTGATATTAGTCAAAATCATAATCCGCACCAGTTGTCTAGGAACCTTGTCAAAAGTTCCTAGACAACTGACAACCCAGACGAGGAGAAGGGAACGCCAGAGAAACCGGATGAAGAGACACGATTGCCAGAGAAACCAACGACGCCCGAGACGAGAAATGGTTTAAGAGGTCATCTGCTAACGATATTTTCTGCTTTTCTTAGGACCGAGAAAAAAAAAACAGATTAACGGTTATCTATTTCTAAAATGACCAAGTTCTGATTTCTGTCGAATACCGCGCCGAAACGAACTTTCTCCCAACTGCTGCCAAGATCCGACTTATAACAAATTTTTGTTACCCTGAAAATCAAATGACCCATTAAAATCTAAATCAAATAAATATATATTATTTATTTTATACCCTTGAGTCAGTTCGTTTTATTTCCGAAGTTTCTGATAAACACCAAGATTCTCTGGCTCAACTCACTATGTGAAAACCGAAGCTAATGAACTTGAAGTTAACATACCTGAATAGTATTTGGGTTAGTAAGCGAGGCTGTTGGAACTGAAGATTTGATGAAAACCACGACTATTCAGTCCATAGGATCGACAAGAGTAGGACTGAGGAAAGTGCTCGAGATTTTAGAAGAATTTTACTCACTTCATCACCAACAATACTCACCAAACGTCTCTGGTGTAAACATGAAAATCAAATATGAACCAACCAAAATATAGATTAACCAGTCAAAATATTTTATAAATCAAATGTCATCAAAACAGAAGCAGAAGGTTCTAATATTATTGTTAAAAATGTAATGTAAAAAGAAGCATACATCTATGTGTAGCAGGTTTCTAACGAAGCTATATAAGGACAAGGATTCATTACACTTACAATACATAATCATGTTTTGGAGAATGTAATGTTTTTTAACATTTTGAAATTTTTTTTTCTTTTTAACAGATCACAGAATATGTTTCACCGAAATTCAAAGGTGGATTGAAACAGCGAAAAATGGCTTCCAAAAGCTAGATAAAATGTTAAAAAAACAAAGGATAGGAAATTGTGGAGAACCATAATCATCAATATCTGGAATGGATACGGCACATATATGAAGAATAGTTAAAATAATGTTTATATAAATAATTATACTTAGCCGAAAAATATGACGAGACGGGTTGCAATTTCTGCTTAGGATGAAATTACGATTTTATGTGGATTAACATTTTATTTTAACAGATTGCTAATCATTATTTATTTTTGACTCAGTTTATTTTGATTCACGCTAAGTTCAACGGCTGTAGAATGATGGCCTGAATAGTTGCAAGAAAAAGCAACTGAAATGAAGATTATGTTTTGTATAGTATTTCACTTGTTAAAAACAAAAACATTGTGTTCGGACATCTATGGTAAGGCTATATAGATTGAACATGATTATCTCTAGCCGTTTGTTTTCGTAGTTCAGATTGTTAGAACAGCTGTCATTTTAAGTGAGTTTTTTCAATGAAAAAAACATTCTTATTTTTGACCCGTATTATTAAAGGCCGTAAGGAATGACGACCCGAGCATTTGCATTTTTTCTTTTTTGTGAATTAACCCTAAATTTCACTGAAAGAATCTACAAATAGTAGAGCTTTAGCCATCTTAAAGAATGAAATTCATTTAATTATTTTATTTATATTACTTACCCTGACGGCAAACACGTTTGATGTTAGCCAGGCTCGTTCATGGAAAATGTCTTTTATACTGAAAAATAATTTGAACAACCCTTGAAAAATTGTTAGAAATTGAATTCCAATGCAGTTATTCTGCATTTAGAAATAAATAATTATTCGAAAAAAAAAACAAAAAAAAACAACAACAATTCTAGACGAGCTTGCTATCATCGAATTAGGAAGCGCCCTCGAATAATATTTAAATTATTTTTATATCGAAGTAATAAAATTTTATTTACTTTACGAATGTGTAAGAAAACAAAAAGCAAACAAGAGAAAGAACACAAGAAAATAACTTTTCATAACAGGTACAATATTTATATTTATAAATGACAACAGTTTTACAATAACTATTAATATGAGTTACTTCCCTTTGACTGGGCTGAAGTTTTTCTACTAAAATACTTTTTACCTTAGCTCACAAAAGTCGAATTATCTTGTCGTTCAAAATGTTCACTGAAAGAGAGTTTAAAGAATCTTGTAAAGCTGAAAATATGTTGATAAACTTTTAGCTTTAAAGAAGTTGGAGAAGTGAATGTTCCGTTTGTTTTTGTTGCTCGTAGTTGAATGTATTGTTCGTACTTATTTTTCGTAAGATTCAATAACGTGATTGAATAGTTTTAGTAAGTTGCAGAAGTTGGTGAGTGAGTTGTTTGGTTGAAATTTTTGCTTGAATTACAGTGAAGTTATTTCATGTTAAAGAACTTGAAGTTCAAACTTTGTACTTCGCTGCAGTAATGGTACAAGCGTCGTGAACTCGTTTAGCAAATTCTAGTCGTCGTAAATTCTCACTGACTGGGTTCGTTCTCGTACCTTCAATTTATGTTTTTTTAATCACGTGATTGGATCCTGAGAGCATTGTTTTTTCGTCAGGTTGATGTTATTCGGGCGTAGTGGTGAACAGGTAAATTGTTTTTTTTAATATCTGTTAACCACTCAGAAAGCGCCTTACAAAACTCAGTCTGGAGCCTGATATGTTTTGTGTTGCTTATTGAGAACAATGTACGTGAAGATACACAAGATAATTTTAATATTTATTGTCCAATGAGAAGTTCAGTTTTTCAGAAACATGTATGAAGATGTGATCCGCTTTTTGCACGAAAATCGACATTGATGAAAAAGTGGTAGCGGACAGCTAAAAAGTCACTTTCCAGATATTTTTGTCTTAGTGGATTATTTTCTCTTTTAATCAAAGTAGCGTTCCCTATGCAAAAAATGTGGCCCGTTTTGTTCCGGTGAACAACCAATTCATTTTTTTGTGTTGCTTATTAAAATGTCCCTTTTGTGTTCATAAAACTTCTTCAGTTTTCTCCAATGCGTTCATTCTGGCAATTCCTTCATTTGATCGAATAAATTCTTCCTTTAAGTTTTGGCTGGTTGTTTTGTTTTTATTGATTAAACCTTTGATTGTTTTAGAGATGTATCTGTGACAAATTTTATGTTGAGTTTAGATAAATTCTTTTCGGTTGTAGTTGTGATAGAGTTAGTGGGTAGAATAATATATATATTTTTTTGATTTGTTGGGTTTGTCAGTAAGGACAGCTTTTCTATTTTGGAATATTTTATGAGCCTTTTGTTTTGCATTGAATATGAAATAGTTGGGGTATTGAAGAGTCAAACTTCAATTCTAGTTTGTCATATTTTTCTAAATATCAAAGTAAACTATTTTTCAATGCATGGTTTAGTTTGTTAATAAATCAAAATGGATGGATAGATGACGACGATGATCAAGATTTTTTTTTAAACAGTCTTAGTTTCTTCAGAGAATGTAATAATTACTACCGAAACGAAACAAAGTTACCTCCCTTAGATCAGTCAAATATTTTTCACTGTTTCGGACTGAGCTAATGTAATAGACTATTTTACTTCATTATTTTCTTTGATTTTCAATAATAAAACGAATTATAAGAAGAATATTCAATTTGAATCCTTTATTAAAATTTTCCCTTTATGCAAAAAAAACATGAGTGACTACTTATTACATCGCCATATTCCAGATGCAAAAATTTATATTTCAATGTAAAAACTGAAAATGTGAATGTCTTTGATTTGAAGGCGCAAGTCACTTTACACTTACTAAACACAACTTGATGTAAACCATTTCTTAGCCATCACTTGTAGCAGTTAGATACTTAAATTTTCTAAAAAAAAATAGATTTTATTTATAAAAATTTAACTATTTCTTTTTTAATCTGAATTTATGATGTTTAAAGGTTATGAAAAGATTACGTTTTATTCATAAATTAAACTATTTATAGGCACATAAAAATTTGTGTGTATGTTGAGGGTAACATTTAGTTTTTGAGGAAATTTTTCGACCCCCCACACCCGTCTTAGAGGCTTAGAAATTTTAAAACTAACCGGACATATTGAAGGCAGGAGGGGCAGAGGAAAGCAGCGAATAACCTAAGGAGTTTCTGTAATTGACAGAGCGGTGATAGGGAGAGATAGCAAAAAGATAAACTTTACTAAGGGCTACAAAGGACAGAACGTTGTGGAGAGCAATGATTGCCTTTGTCTTGAAGGGACACGGTACACAAAAAAAGAAGCAAATAATGAAACATATTTATCCCGGAAACAATAAAAAAGTAATGATGGAACATTTTTAAAAAAAAAAAGATGGCAAAGGATTAGAGTCTTTTAACAAGCGTCATAAGCGTGCAAATAAAACGATGAACCAACAATAATAATTACTTTTAAAAAATCATTTTACCCCAAGCAAGGCGGGAATGCCATTAGTACACGTGGGGGTTGTTTACAGTGAGTGAAAGTGAGAGAAATGATTGAGTATAGGGAGGAAATGACAAAAATGAACGGGATTCAAGAAGATAGAAGATGGTGGTTGACGTTGCATTTAAATTTTTGAAGATTGTAGTTATAAAGGAAAAAAGTAAACGGAAAGGAGATCCACAGGCGGGAAGTGCGAGAAAAGAAAATGTTGGCGTATAAGTAGCGTTTGCATTTAGCTATTTCAACAGTAAAAGTAGTAGCACGCTTAAATTCATGTAGACGGGGCAACAGGGAAAAAAACTGGTCAGAGCAGTTGCTATGAAAATATTTGTAGATAAGACAGAGGGACTCAAAGTCATGTCGGTGAGAAAGTGACTGAAGTCGAGATGCCAAGTCAGGATCGATTAAATTACAAATCCTTCTTTGAGATGAATAGCAGGAGCACCTGACCAGATATGGAAGCAATATTCAAGGCACAGACAAATGGTAGGTTTATAATTGTGCAAAATAGACTTTGATGAAAAAAAAAAAAAAAAGGCACAACACATTGATCCAACTTTCCTTGCAGTAGATGCAGCTATTGATTCAATTTAGTCGTTACACTTCAAGTCAGTTGAAAAGGCGAGGCCGAGAAGGCTCAGTGAAAAGTTCCAGGAAAAGTGTGTAATCGATAAACCAAGTGGTCTTCATATGCTCGATGGTGCTGGAAAATTTCCTAAAAAAGATAAACGTGCGGCCCCATCTCCTATTGTGAACGTAAGAGTCTATAAACTTGAATGAATTGAAAATATGGAGTCAATCCGACAATAACGATTTTTTTTTTTTACTTATTTTATCCCTTATTTAATCATAAATCTGAATGAAGAAACGAATTATCACATAATGGTATTTAAATCGATTGTCTCCCTTAGATATGAATAAAATTAAAAAATACACATCAAGGGAAATAACTTTTAATAGTATTTTAAAATAAATTCTATAAAAGAATTTAGATAGCAAAATAAATGTTACAAATCGTTAATGAAACAATTCAATTAATTAACGATTTTTTTGTTCAAGTTTGTGACTGCAAAATGTTGCCAGATAAAAGTGGACGTCAAAGTTTGTTAATATAAGCAATATTATCTGAAGAGACATAAATCAATATTTCTTACCTTATTCCGATACTGGATATTAGTCTGGTCAGTTCAGCTAGGCCTCCTGGCCTATCACTGATAGTAGTCACAAATTTAATTAATCTACCGTCAGCTGCCAATCCTCGTTCCAAAACTCTCCCTAGGGCAGGCGTATCTATGTTACCACCACATAAAGCTACAACAACCCTTTAAGCAACAAGAAATAATAATGATAATAATAATAATAATAATAAACACTTATAAACTTATTATTAGTAAATATATATTAATTGTATTTATGAGTAAAATATATTTGTATAATAACAAGATTAGGGAGATTTGAATATAGTTTCATATTATTGAACTGTCAAAGAAAATTCCGTTGAAAATTGAAATGTCGGAGTCTGGTAAAGCAAGTCATGTCTCCTTAAAAACGTATAATATAGATTTTACTGTTGTTGTTCATAATAGCAATAGTAAAATAGATAAATAAAAATAGACGGACGAGGCGTAGCACCCTGAACGTGATGGTCCACCATGGTATGGGTATGTTCTGGCGTCCATCAACCAGCCCCCACATATGGGTAAATACGAACTAACTATAATGCTGACACAACGAAAAATATTGATAAACCGCACCGGTCGTCACGCGGGTCAACAAGGGTCGCTATCCCCAGTGAGGAACAAGAATGGGATCAAAAAGTCTGCAACTGGAACAAACACTACCCAACGAGAATAAGAGGAAAACCACGCCGAAGACAGTCCTCACAGAAGCCATCTATATTCATTAAAAGAAAATCCCACAAAAAGAACAATAAATAAATGGTCTAAGGAAGAGTATATTGAAGTAATGATAGCATTTTACACTGTTACGATAAATCCGACAACGATAACAACGACCAAAGCTGCTTATAATCTCGGGTGAGAAAAACACTCCTCAAACAGACTAAACATTGATGCCAACAAACTAGCCAATGTCAGGCGTCGCATCATCAGAAAAAAAATAATACCTGACAGAACTCGAAAGCATCCGAGAAAGCATCAAAAATAGATTAAACGTTAATATCGAGGGGCTAAATGCCAACGACCCAGAGGAAACACTTGAGAAGAACAAATAGAAACCAGTTGTAATAAAATCCCTCTGAGGTACACAAGTAGATGGTGGAAATAGAGGAAGATAACGACGAATAGAAGAGAGAAATAAAGATGACAAAAAAAAAATCCTATATAAATGCCTAAGCCTTGACCTAATGAATAATACTGACGTAGCAAATGTTAGAGAAGCTGAAACAACAAATTCATGCGAAGGCACAGAGAATCAGGCGTTATGAAAAAAGAAGAAACAGATTCTTTTGGCAAAACAAGATCTTCAAAGAAGATGCCAAGAAACTATATTGAAAACTTGGAAAAAATAAAATAGAAATAAATGACCCACCAAATATCCAGGAAATCGAGGAGTTCCGGTGTAAGATGTGAGAAAACTGCAAAATGCACATTGAAAGAGCTTCATGGATCAAGCAACAACAGAAACAAGACACACATATACAAATGCCAAAAATGGACGGATTTCAATATTACTGAAACAACCGCTGCTATCTGCAAAACCCAAACTGGAAAGCACCGGAAATAGACGGAATAGCCAATCTTTGGATATAAAAAAAACCTGTCTAGCACTCACCAAGACCTTGCACGGGCTTAGAATGATATAATCATAAGCCCAGAAAAATGGCTCAACGTGGGGAGTAACATACCTACTCTCCAAAAGAGATGAGACGCAGAACCTGAAGAACTATAGGCCCATCACCTGCCTACCAACAATGTACAAGATCCTCACTTCTATCATAACCGAGAGGACATACAACTTATTTGAGAAAAACAATTTACTTCCTGCAGAACAGAAGGGATGTAAAAGAGGAAGTTACGGGTGCAAGGACCAACTAATTATCAATAAAACAATAGTGGAAGAGGTGAAAACAAAGGAAAGAAATTTATCGACACCATGGATCGACTACAGAAAGGCGTTCGACAGTGTTCCATACTCATGGATAAAGAAGAGTTTAAAAATATACAGAGTATGCCCCACAACAGTCAAATTCATAAGAGAAATCATGAAAAACTAAATCTAACAAACGGGTTATTAACGTCGAGACGAATCAATATCAAAAGCGGAATCTTCCAAGAAGATTCATTATCACCACTACTCTTCTGCCTTGCATTAGCGCCACTTAGTGGCCTACTGAACAACAATCGCCACAGATACAAGACACAGAATGGCAAACTGAATCATCTATTTTATATTGAGGATCTTAAAATAGGTACCTCCACGAGATCGCTAAAAAAAGAGCATAGCATGATGAAAAAGACGCCAAACTTGACGAAAACAAAATTTTATCGTCTAAATGTTTGTTATTATTAAGAGGAAAGGTCAAAGTATTTTGGGGGGATTTTTTTTCCATTTTTTAATCGTTCCTAACACGTCCGAAATTTTCGTTAAAAATCTAGTTTTTTTTGAGTCAGCAAAATTGACCATTTTTTTCCATTTTAAAAAAAAATGGAAATCTGACTTTGAAATTTTCTTAAATATCAATTATCATTTTTTTAAAACTTATTTTAAGAAAATCAGAAATTACAATGTTTATTTAAAATATTTTGAACCAAACTTAACTTAGCTTTTGTGCCAAAAAGATGTAATTTGAAAATAAAACAAAGCAGGTCATAAACTTTCGCATCTCTTGACATGTGATGAATGATATATTTGCGAAATCCATGAGGCTAATTTGTCCTACGGAAGGAGAAAAGTGAAATAATTTACATTTACGTGAACAAATTATTTACCCCGTTATTTTTAACGAAAACTTTCAGCGGTCTAATTTTTTTTTTTTTGTACTTAGCTTTCACCTTTACGTTTATGATGCTTTATGGGAAATATATTGTAAAGAAATTAAAATAAAACTGTTAAGAGTGACATTAAATTTCATATTTCTTAAGAAAGGTATCTAATTAATTTATAGGTACCTTTCTTATGAAATTTTATCAGAATTGTACATAAAATACTATAATTTTATGTACATTTATTACATTTTACTGTTATTTGTATTTGCATTCATTTTATTATTAATTTTGATATTTCATTTATGGAAAAATGTCGTAACTGAGATTAATATAAAAATAAGATCATATAAATTTCATAAGATGATACTGGTACTTGTAGGTACCCTTCTCAGTTGAAACTGAAAAATCAAATTAACTTCTCCACACGTGTTTCGCAAAAGTAAAGGCCTTAACAGCGGAGAACAATGCTTAACTCAAATAACGCAACTTAATTATATTCTGGTTGGTCTTCTGTATTTTATAATTACAGCTCGATTATAAGCACAAAATTACATTTCTTAATTACTGGGGATCTTCTGATTAGTCAAAATGATACAATTTACAACGCGCTAAAAAAAGATCTATCTCATAAGGACACTTATGAAAGCCGATGCGGCTTTTAACTAATTTTATAATATTTTAACAACTTAAATGTAAAATCTATTATAATTAATGAAATAACAAATAATTGTATTAAAAATTCATTTTTCATCGAAAAAATTTTTTGCTTTCAGAAAATATTGTCCATATTCATAAAAACAACTAAAAGCAAATAAAAGCATTTGAAATTAAATAATATCTTTGTTTTATTGAGTTTTGTATGTTACAATTCAGAGCTGATTTTCAGGTACTGCGTATCCAATTAAAAACAAAAAAAAAAACCATGATTTGTATTCCTCAAAGCCCTGTGCTTTTAATTATTGTAATCACTAAAACCGATGCGATCGAATTTCTAGCGTTTTCATAAAATTAGTTATGGGGAGGTAATAAATATATTTTTAAAAAATATTTCTACCATGACTTTCATAAAAAAAACATATTTATAATAATTTCGATCATCTGTGAATAGTTCCTGAAAGTTTCATTAACATCCGATAATTATTTCTATTTTTGCACGATTTTTCAAATTAATGTGTGTCATACCAAAAAAACGTGCTAAAAATTTTCTATGTTATTTACTAGTTCCGCTGATACAAATAGAAAAAAGGTTTTTTTTAATCAAAATTTAGAATGTTCTAAAAGAAGGAAAATTTTTAAAAAATAATTAAAAAAAAACTTTGGTCTTTCCTCTTAATAATAACATAAGCATTTAGACAATAAAATTTAGTTTTCGGCAAGGTTGGCGTCTTTTTCATCAAGCTATGCTCTTTTTTTAGCGATTTCGTGGAGGTACCTATCTTAAAACATTTGCCAAGGATGACAACCAGCAGAAAAATCTATTCACCATTGTCAAAACATTCAGCGAAGACATAAGGATGAAGAATCGACAAATGTTCCAAAGTCACCTTCAAAAGCGGTAAACTAACGAAAATTACGGATTTAGACGTTAGTATCAACAACAAGATTAAGAAATTAGACCAAGGTGGTACATACAAATACTTATGAATTAATGAAAGAGACAGAATACAATATTCAATTATGAAGAAAAAAATCCAAAAAGAACATTATAGGAGTGTGTGTTTGATACTAGAAAGCGAACTTAATGGGGCCAATAAAATGAAGGCTATCAATACTTTAGCTATATCTATAATAACACACAGCTTCACCATTATTAAATGGAAATTGAATAACATTAAAAGATTGAACCCCAAGACCAGAAAAATGCTTACCCAAATGAGGATGCACCACCTGAAATCAAATGTTTATAGGATGTATGAACCAAGAGCTTTAGGAGGCCAAGGTCTAATCCAACTTAAACTCAAAAAACTACAATTGGATTAGAAGCATACCTCACCAAAAACCAATGACCTTCTTCTCCTACAAATAGTAAAACACCAAATCCACTCCATCAACAAAGAAGCTGCACTCTTCAAAAAACAGCTTAATATACCTGAAGTCTTAAGTGCAAAAAATGAAGCGAATACCATCTATTCTAAACGAGTAAAACAGAAAGCAAAACAACTTGGCCAAATGAAATTACAAAAAACTGTGAGAACAAGGCGTTGTATGGCAAATACGTAAAAAGAACAAAAGAATCAGATGTGGACCAACAGAAAACACATCAGTGGCTTAGAAGCAAAAGGCTAAAAGCCGAGACAAAAGGACTAATTATTGCAGCTCAGGACCAAATCTTCGCAACCAGATTCTATCACTGCCACATAATCAAGGATGTAACTAATCCGAAATGTAGGATCTGCAGAAAATATGATGAAACTGTCGACCATATTATTTCAAGATGTCCGGAACTAGCAAAAAATGAATATACCCAGAGGCATAACAAGGTAGTGACGTATGTGCACTGAAAGATATGCAAGAAACACAAAATCAAAAAAACTGAGAGATGGTATGAGCACCAACCTGACATAGTAACCCAAAATAACGATGTAACTAGCCTTTAGGACATGCTAATTCAAACTGACAGGGAAATAAAAGCCAACAGAACTGATATTACCATAAAAGACAAAAAATTCAGGAAGTGTATGATGACTGACATACCAGTGCCATCTGAGAGAAACACCTCTATGAAAATTATCGAGAAATTGTCCAAACACAAGGACCTGGAGATCGAGATTAACAGAATGTCGGGAATAAAGACTGAGACTGTACCAATAGTAATCGGAGCTCTGGACCTCGTGAGAAAAGGAATGGACAATTTTACTAACAGTATCCCAGGTAACATCAACATACAAACACAAAAAAAGAATGTACTTTCTTACTGACATGGCAGTCCCTGCAGATTGTAATGTATATTTGAAGACCTTAAAAAACCTATCAAAATATAAGGATCTTGAAGTAGAAATCTCAAAAATGTGGCACATAAAGACATCAATAATTCCAGTTGTAGTTGGAGCACTCGGATTGATTGGAAAAGGTTCCTATAGACACATTGAAGGGATTCCTGTCTTAAAGAAACAGCAATAACTGTCAAATGGACTTCCAAATAACTTTTCAAATATCGTCTTTCAAGGTTTGTTGCTGTCAGTTTGATGGTTCAGCAAAATGGAATTGGTTTTGTTGTAAACTGCAAATGGTTGCCATTTTGCTGAACCAGCAAACTGATTAAAGTTGGCTGAAAAGTATGGAGCTCGAAGAGAATTCCACAAGTCAGAAAATACGAGAAAAAAATCTGTTAGTATAGAACTTACAGTCACATCTAGCTCTAGCACAACTGTAAATTGATGCGATCTCGGCGCCAGTCTAGTATTGAGACTAAATTCATAAATTCTAGGTACCATAGCGAAGAGCGATATTTATTTCCGCTTCAAATACAGAAAATGTGGCACAAGGCCAAAAACAAGAGGAATAGGGACAAGGATGGTCTTCTGTCTTAATATTAAACTTAGATAGCCACAAACACTGACCCAAACATACAACAATATTCCTTACACCAAAACAATGCATTCTTATCTTTCATACTACATCCATCATAATATCTCATTGTCTCTATGAAATTAATTATGAATTAATAGCGAAGAGCTCACCCAAGCAATTACCATGAAAGTATTTATAGAAAAAGCGCAGTGAAGCAATTTTACGACGGTGGGACAGTGACTGAAGCCAAGACGCCCGGCCAGGACCAATAATATTGCCGATTCTTTGGATTTTATCAAGGATCTCTAAATATATAGAACAGTAGACTTTTGAAAAAAAAATCTGTATTCCCAGATATATAAACAATCAGGTTTTTAGCATCGGGTATTATGACACCGAAAAGACGTCAAATTGCATTCAAAGAGTATTCCATCATTGGAAGATCAAATATTTATCGAGAAAAACGTCGGCAATTTCAATTTTAAAATATTCAAGTTATGTTAACGATAAAATAAAAATATCAAATTAATATGTAACATACTCACTTCTTTCCAAGCAGTTCTGGGCACAAATTTTGCAATATTGCTGCTAGACCCACAGCACCTGCGCCTTCCACAACGGCTTTTTCTTGTTCGACAAGTCGCAAGATGGACAAAGCAATACAATTTTCACTGAAATACCAGGAACAAGAGGCTCAAATAAAAAAGTTTTTTTGTACAATAAAAAAGATGATATCATAAAGGAAAGTAAATTGATTCTGTACCTTTAAAGAATTCTTGAACTTAAAAATCCATGTTGCTACGGTTGTGATAGTATTAGATTTTTATTAATAAAAAAGTAAGTAAATAAATAAATAAATAATAATAATAATAATAATAATAATAAATACAAGGATCTTGAAATGGAAATCTCAAAAATGTGGCACATGAGATCATCAATAATTCCAGTCCAATTTTATGTGACTTTACAATACGCACAGACAGAACAAGGAAAGCTAATTGCCCCGACATCGTGATTAGAGACTGCAAAGACAACGTTTGCGTCCTTATTGACATAGCAGTCCCTGAAGACTGCAATGTATCTTTGATGATCTTCAAAAAACTATCAAAATACAAGGACCTTGAAAACGAAATCAAAAAATGTGGCACATGAGGACATCAACAATTCCACTTGTAGTCGAAGCCCTTGGATTGATTGGAAAAGGGTCCAATAGACTCATTAAAGAAATGCAAAATATTCTATTCACAAGTAGTGCTAACACATTACGAAGAGCTTCATCTATGTAAAATGGAGGTGATATTAATTATTTTTTATTTACAAAATTGATTGGGACCCGGAAGGAAATACAACAGAAATCAAAGGAAATAATAATAATAATAATAATAATAATAATAATAATAATAATAATAATAATAAACGAACAATAAATACCAATATTTCTTTTCAAACAACAGAAAAAACTGAATTTTTACTGGTATTGTGTAAAGATAAGCCTCAATATCTGAATAATAAACTTAAGATGTTTTATTAATTTAAACAAACTAAAATCGACAAACATATCATTTGTTGTGTTCATAATTAAATCGACTCATCTTCTGAACTTAATTAATTGTCATTTTCTCAAGCATTAAATTTCCTGAAAGAGAACGAGTTAATCGCAGAAGTTTTGAATTGTTAAACACACAAAATAAGAAATAAAAAGCTAGAAATTTTGATTGAGATTTAAAGCAAACACAAAATACTCTGATATCAGAAATATATGATACGTTCGGATTTTAGTCAAAAACAAATATTTACTTGACAGTTAGTACTTTGTCTACTATTTTGGAGGCGGTGGCAAACGCATTTACGCCAACAATGGGGACTGCAAGGCCTACAAAGAGAAAATGATTGAAGTATCAGTATTTTGCTTGTGGATACAAATATATTGATATAGAAATCGACCTACAAACGAGATCACATTTTCTTTAAGATTTTTAAAGATTAAGATTTTATATATATATATATATATATATATATATAATTATTTTTATAAAAAAAAATTTATAACATAAGTATGTTATAAAATCACTACAAAAATAGCCATTTTGTTTCAACACACTCTGTGTCTTATCAAGTGATGATGTTGAAAATAAAATAAATGGTTTTAAAAGTTTCAGATTAATTAACGATCCTACACTAGGGGGAAAAACATTGTTACAAAAGCTAGAATAACCAATCAAAAACGAAGTATAGAAAGATTCAAAAGCTTGACAACGAAATCATGCTATAATGGCTTTTCAGATCTTTAAATACGTGTAATATTAAAAATAATTTATACTAACTAATAATTATAAAATTATATGATAAAATTTAATATTAAAATTAAAAACTGGCAATTTTAAAATCTAAATTTAATCACTATTAAGTTTAAAAACTACAAAATTATTGAGAAAAGAAAAAATATATATGTTTATTCAATTCATTTCTTCATTGAAATTAAGCACCCAGACATAATTAGATATACACACCCACACATACACACACACAAACACACATACACACACACTAAAAAAAAAAAAAAAGGGAAGGTGGGGGGGAATACATGAACATCTCTACAACCCTTTATGAAAAAAGGAGACGTGGAAACTAACACTTATACACACACACAGTTAAATGTGAATACACTCTACATACACATAGACACCGATAGATACACATACATACATCTACAGACAATGAGAAATCACAACCAATAAATAAGTCAGACTTAAATAAATGCTAACCACTTATTGAATTATAACTTAAGGGAGCAAAGAAAGATAAAAATGGTTAAAAATAATATTATTTAATATATTAAAACGAAAATTCTAAAACCATAAATATCAATAAAAATATATATTAATCATATAAGTTGATAATAGTTTCATTATATATTAGGCAAAGAAAAACAGGATAAAGAAACCCACAAATATATACATATATATAAATATACACGGCAGCAAAAACAAATTAACACACATAAATATACACTCATACATACATATACATACAGAAATACATACAAATAAATATATAAACATAAACATATACGCACATATACATATCTATGATAACAAGTACACATGCACGCACATATACATATAAACCTAAATACACACACATATATACACACAGACTTTTATGCACACATACTTACATATATAAAAAACCAGTCATGATATACCAAAGTTTCCACACCCACACATACACACAAACAAACTCATACATAATAGGTGCCAACACACACACATATATATATACATACACAAACATACATAAATATATATACACACATACATACATATCTACAAATAAACATATATATAAATATATCTATCTACAAAAACAACTACCCATATATACATGCATACATAAAAATACAACAACACTCAACCAAATACATATATAAACGTACTAACATATAGATACATAAATATACCTTCAAATACCAACACACAGCAATATACATATAGTCTAACATACAAATATACAAACACATTCATACAAACAGAAATATACTTAAATATAAATACACATACACAATAAAATAGGACATACAGATATATACATGTATGCACACACAGATATATATATACACACATACATACACACACACATACATATATATATATATACAAATATATCGTGGCACAAAGCCGAAATTAGGGGGCACACAGTGAGGAACGAACTCATTACTCAGTCGCAACTAATCTAGCGAACCATGCTGGCCAACCATTATACCGCCGTGATTTTATCATACATATACATATACATACATATACACATACACATACATACATACATATATACATACATACACACACATACATACATATATACATACATACACACACATACATACATATATACATGCATATATATATATATACAACACACACACACACATATATATATATATATATATATACATACATACATACACATATCTACATATATACATACATACATACATATACACACATACACACACAAATACATACATATACACACACCCATACACACATGCATATATAGGCACACACCTACACATATACAGCAACAATTATTAACCTTTTCACTTATAATCTACCATACCTTCCCACATAATATATATATATATACACACACACACTCACATATGTATACACATACACACACACCCCACACACACACCCACACATATATAAAAAAAAAAATAAATAAATAAATAAATACACTTATACACCAACCTACACATTCCTCAGTGCAAATACTCTAACCAACACATAAATAAATATATACACATTTACACCAACACTAATAACACTATGCAGGTAAACAATACACACTTATATCGTAAGTATGACCATCATGCAATAAAAATATTAATCTATCAAAAATACAGCGACATATCATTATCATTTAAAGTATACGACCCCTACACTAAGTTAAATTTATAACGGTGTTTACAATTTACTGTAAGTTCATATCTTTGATTTAAGAGATCAGCCTTGTTTTTAAATCTAATAATTTCAAATTTTTCATTAAGGCATAGGTAACATGGGGTATATAGGGAGTTACATGTACGAGCTTTCTTAACCAAACTCCATTTAACCGTAGGTGTTTTGTTCTTATCTTTTAGATTCCAAAAATACTTGGATAATGAAGTCATGTACCTATATTCACTGTGATTAAAGGATTGCATATGCCCCCGCCAGCGTTCCTTGAATGTTTTCATGGTAGAACCAATGTAAAACTTCTTTATATTTGGATTTTCAATTGTTGAAATAGTACCAAGATAGACTACAGAAGTAATTCCACAGTTAGTTTGTAGTGGACAATTATTCGGATTCCTACAATTACATAAGTTGTTATTTGTATTCTTATAATTAGTATTGCAGTTAGTAACCTGTTGATTAGTCAAGCCTTTTGAACTCCTATACTTGTTAAAAGACTATGTTGTTATGTTTTTTTAATTATCTGCTCCAGGTTGTCAGCACAACTATAGCTCAATTTAAGGGTATTAGGATTAAATATTTTACTAAGTGGGTTAGTTTCGGGGTTGGGAAATGTTTTTTGATTAGGTTTAGAAATATACGCCCTAATTTAGTTTTAACCATAACATTAAAAGGGGAGTGAACCAAATAATCTTTCTAGATCTTCTTTTCTTATTATGGTTGCAATTAACAGGGTTTTTATATTGAATAGTGGTATTTTTGTATCCACTATTTTTTAGTGCAGAATTATAAAAATCACTATGTTTATTGAAAACCTCCTTATTATAGGAGTTAGCGCTAATTCTAAATTCAATGGAAGAGGGTATATGTTTGATAACCGAAGGGGGGGGAATTAGGATGCACGTATAATGGGTTGGAATTAACCTTCACATATGGTTGGAAAATGTTGTTAGCCAGATCTAGGGTGACATCTAGAAAATCCACTTGTCTAACATTAGTAGTAACTATTGTCCTAAGACCTAAATCCTTAAATACCCTATAGATCATTTTCCTAATACGGTATACCTTAATTTTAGTTGAGTTTTTAACAACTAATAATCCATCATCTCTATATAATCCTACACTATCTGAATCTAGACAATCAAAGGCACTTAAATTATATAAAAGAAATAATCCAACCAAGTCCGAAGCTTCAGCAGAATCCAAAGAACCCATGGAAATGTCAAAATTGTTGTTGCAAGACTTTTTGGTCCACTGTTCATCCTTATATATATATAATATTATATTGTAAATGTTACTTTTAGTGGATACATCTGTTGAGTTGAAAACTCAGTTTTTATAGTCATAAACAGTGAAATTAATATTAACCGGCCTAGATCGAGAAGTCCTCTTAAAGCAAAGATAATTATACCGTTTGACGGGAATCGGATCTTTATGCTCTTTTCCACCATGGAAGCTCTTCTTCAATCGAAGCGTGCCAATTTGGCGACAGGATAACTACCATGAAAAGTCAAGACTCAATTACTTACTAGGAACACACTTCAAATCCTTATCTTTATCTTCATTTTCGTACTGAAACGTAAATGAAGTAATTTTTAAAATGTATTTATTTTTATATATATATATATATATATATATATATATATATATATATATTTTGAAGAAAATAAAATATGGGATCATATTAAACATAAGATACAACAATATCCACGTTTAAAACATAAAATGTAAGGTACCTTTCGACAGACACATTTTCAAACACAATCGTCGGTAATCTAAAACGGAGTACTAACAAGAAATTTTTTTATTAATACCGTAATAAAACAGGATGGTAAGGGGGGGGGAATTGTTTTACCTCAAATCATGTAACCGTTCCCCCAAATAAGGCCAACTTAAACTTCATCTCCCGTTGTACGCAGAGGGCCGGCCTACGTATGTTGATAATAACAGACTCCAAAATGTCGAGGTGGAGTCTGTTCCTAGCCCTGTGCAATACCGAAAAGAAATGGGGAGAATACTCGCTCCTACAAAGACCAGAATTTAATAGATGTTCACCGATAGCAGAGGCATGAGTCTGCGAACACCCGGATGTCACAAACTCATGCCTGCGCACGCAGCCCGGGTCATGTTGGGCGATTCTAACCTCAAGCCTCTGGATAGTTTTGCCCACATAGTCGAGCCCGCATCGACATTTAAATTGATAAATAACTAAATTATTATGGTAGGTAGGCAAAACATCCTTACGGCAAGGGGGGAAGGCCCTCCTGGTAGTAAATATGTTCCTGACTGTAACGGCATTATAACACCGTTTAATGGATGAAGAGATCTTATCGGCGTATGTCTGACTCTCAGGACCAATCCAAGGGAGCCTGACATATATAGGACATTTGGAAGGCCCATATTTCTTAATTTCATTGAACTTCCTGATCTTGCGTTCAATGACAGTTTTAATAACTGATTCGGGGTAACCGTTCTTAAGAAACAATTCCTTAATTGTTCTCAATTCGGCATCGAGTCTACACTCGAAACAAATCTTCAATGCCCTATTGGTAAGACGACTTATAAGGTTAACCTTTCTGGCTCTGGGAGCAAAAGAGTCCCAAGCCAGATAAAGTCCTGTAAAAGTGGGCTTCCGGTACACGCTCGTTAAGAAACCCGAGGGAGTTCTCTCCACAAGGACATCAAGAAAAGATAAACGATTGTTCTCTTCAACCTCCATTGTAAATTTAAGTGCAGGATGGAGATTATTTAATAATGAAAAGAACACTTCCGCTATTGCACTATTAGAAAATGATGCGAACGTATCATCAACATAGCGGAAGTAACAATACGGTTTGTTAACCCTCTCAAATAGTCGCCTTTCATGAAAACCAACAAAAATGTTGGCCATCACAGGACCCAAGGGACTACCCATCGCCACCCTGTCGATTTTCTCATACATGCAATTGTCAAAACTGAAGGAGACAGACTTGGTCGCCATCCCCAACAATTCAACAAACACACTCTCAGGAAACAACGGAGATTTACCAGGGCCACGATACAAGAAGTCCGCGCAAATGTCAATAGTTTCATCAATTGGAACATTCGTGAACAAACTACTTATATCAAACGACACAAAATACTCCGTGTCGCTGTTTGAATTTAAATTTTGTATATAATCAACAAACTTAAACGAGTCAGGCACACAATACTCAGAGTAGAATTCTAAAACCGGATTAAGAACATCCAATAACCACTTGTCGAGATTATGTTGGGCGGAACCCAACATAGATAAAATTGGCCTAAGTGGAACGCCCTCTTTGTGAATTTTTGGTAACCCATACATCCTAGGACGTTGGGAACCAACAGGACGAATATTATTGTAAAGTTCTTTCGATAGAAAATTACTTTTATAAAATTCCAGTAGTTTTTTTGGAATCTAGTTTCAGTTCTTGGGGTATCATCATAACTAATATCACCCAATTTCCGGAATTTACTACTATCCTCAAGAATAGATAGCATCTTGCCAACATAGTCGGAATGGTTCAATATAACGACTCCGGCACCTTTGTCGGGCTTGGTAATATAGATGTCTGGGTTGGTTTTTAATGACCTAACTCTCTGAAAATGCCTCCTCTGCCACACAAACCCAGAGGAGTTAACATTTGAGTCTACAATGCCATATGCCAAGTCCTTTAATCGGACTTTAAGGCGAAGCAAATGGTCCTCAGAGTTAGGATGGTGCTTTAATAATTGAGAAAGGAGGACCTCGAAATTACTAAACACCTCAACTTTCTTAGGAGGAATACAAAACTCAAGACAAGACGACCTTTTCGGAGACAGACAACTCATAATCAGACAAGTTAAAACTATGTCTATCTGTTGTAACACGCGAGCCGAATTTCTTTTTTATTAAGAAATTCAAATAAGACATATTCTTGGTCCTAATCCTATTACCAACAACCAGATCACCATCCGACAAATATTTAGCAAAACGAAACCTATCATAAAACGACAAAGTGCGCCAGACTCTACCCCAGATAGAAACATAATGGGTTTTAATTGAACTGAGCGCTTCAGAAAAATAAATAATTTCGTCTCTGAGGAAAGCTCGTTCAACATTAAAAATGTTGCGACACTTAACCCGAGAAACACGACGAGAGATATTACCAGGTATAACAAAATTTTGAGAACAAAGTTTCAAGAATTGAATCTTACCCAAGAGGGACATTACTTTTCAATATTATTCAATTTTATATGTCAGGCTCCCTTGGATTGGTCCTGAGAGTCAGACATACGCCGATAAGATCTCTTCATCCATTAAACTTTGTTATAATGCCGTTACAGTCAGGAACATATTTACTACCAGGAGGGCCTTCCCCCCTTGCCGTAAGGATGTTTTGCCTACCTACCATAATAATTTAGTTATTTATCAATTTAAATGTCGATGCGGGCTCGACTATGGGCAAAACTATCCAGAGGCTTGAGGTTAGAATCGCCCAACATGTCCTGGGTTGCGTGCGCAGGCATGAGTTTGTGACATCCGGGTGTTCGCAGACTCATGCCTCTGCTATCGGTGAACATCTATTAAATTCTGGTGTTTGTAGGACTGAGTATTCTCCCCGTTTCTTTTCGGTATTGCACAGTTGGCCTTATTTGGGGGAACGGTTACATGATTTGAGGTAAAACAATTCCCCCCCCGCTTACCATCCTGTTTTATTACGGTATTAATAAAAATTTTTTTTGTTACTCGTTTTAGATTACCGACGATTGTGTTTGAAAATGTGTCTGTCGAAAAGGTACCTTACATTTTATGTTTTAAACGTGGATATTGTTGTATCTTATGTTTAATATGATCCCATATTTGTTATTCCTCAAATGTTTGATTAGACTTGGCAGTACTAGAAATCTGTTTATATATATATATATATATATATATATATATATATATATATATAGGAGGTACGGTGGTATAGCGGCTCGGATTAAGGAACCGGAATCCATTAAATTCATTTAGGGGTAATACTCTTGGGAAAGGTATGAATCCTCTTCTTCTCCCTCCAGCTATGGGTAAATAACAGGATAGACTGGCAACTAGTCTAGGAGAAGAACAACTCTGAATTCAAAACAAGCTGAGGGTCGTTTGGGGACCTTGTGGCACGTAGTGCACCAGGGCTCTGTATTCAGCCCTTCAAAAAGTGTGGTTGGTTCTCTCTCTCTCTGTCTCTCTCTCTGTCTCTCTCTCTCCCTCTGTCTCTCTCTCCCTGTGGTAGTAATAGTAGCAGCATCTATATTTAGAGAATTCAATTATAAAAAGAACATAAATTTAAAGATTTGACCATGATAAACACTGATGGATTTTTATTTATTAATTAAAACGTTTTATTAATATTTAATAAGATTTCTAGAATATTCAGGCCGGCAGGCGAAAATAAATAAATATGCAGTTTAATAAATAAGTGGAACGTCTACTGAAATATGGGTATCCATTGAAAGTAACGTTTAAGTAATATTTCATAAAAAGGAGCTTTTTATTGTTTAAAAAAGCGATGATTAGAATTTTAATAAAACCCAAACATATGAAAGTGAATTTATACATTTTCTTTGTTATTGAGAATTTACAATAAAAATAATAAGCAGTAATTATTAATTGTTTATTTACAATATTTATTCATTATTTTACGGAACGGTTGGCAAACATCAGGTAATTGCCAATTGATTTGAACTTTCATAAAATGGTAAATAATAAAGTTTTTCGTTATAGTTGGTTCACAAATTTTAATAATCTAGTAAATGTTTATGCATTTACGAATAAAAAATTGTTTTCACATTTATTTCTTTGTAAATTGATAAGTGATAAATATTGCATTACACAAGTAAATTAGATTTTAGAATGTTGTAAATATAAAATTATTCTTGTAAATAAGGAATCTAATAATTAATAGCGTTTAATATTTTTGTTGTTAAAATGTATAAATTCACTTTCATCATATGTTTAGGTTTTTATTCCAATTCTAATCACCGCTTTTTAAAACAATAGAGATTGCGGAAGAGTGAATCTAGTTCAAAAAGCGGTGTCATGGCAAAAATCGTCCTTTTGATACTACGTCTTATTGCAGTCATGTTTATCCATAATTGCCAAAGGAACAAGTCGTAGAACAAAAACTGTTTATTACAAAAAAAAAAAATGTAATGTTCAAAACTACCCTTGTAACATTGTCATTTGTCACAATTCAATTTGATCATATTTATGTGTGACGTTTTAAAATAAAATATAAGTTCTGAACAAAATATGGCAACATTTCAATCTAAACAAATATTCCTTATATTTCTGCAGGGTTGTTTTGTAAGTTATTAAGATGTCAAGCTATTGCAATGTTGATAAATCACTTAAGTGTTTGGCTGTCGTACCTCAAGTCACCTCAAGTCACCAGGACAACCACAGAATGACAGGACAACGTTGATCAATCACTAAAATCTCGGATTGTCAAACGATGATGATGATTTCTGCTACAGTTACACTAAATCTAAAGTTTAATTTCTACAGTACAACAAATTTATGATGATACTGACTCTTTTAATGTACTTAAAGCTCCAGGGGAGTGTTGTGTAAAATGACTCCTTCGAATAATTGGAGGATCCAACAGTTTTAACATAGCAGCATTGTGTGTCAGGTAAATGAAGAATTTGGCATGGAAGTCTCTCAGCAGACAGTGTCACATAGTTTATGTGAAGTAGGGCTTCATTCATGATCCCCTGCAGTCAAAACCCATATCAGCAAAAAGAGCCAAGAAGCTAAACTAGCCTTTGAAAGTGTTCTTCAGTGAAAGTAAGTTTAATTTGCTTGAATCTGATTGCATGTAACAGAAAGGCGATTGATTGCTTCTTAAGCGTGCGATAAAAAAGTTAGTTAAATTTGGAGGTAGCAGTGTATTGGTATGGGGGGGATGTTCTCTGGTACTAGTGTTAGTCCCACTCAGTTACTCAGTGAAATAGTAAATTAAAGGTTTCAATGTATAAGAGAATGTTACTGAACAGCTTATTGTTTCTTGTCTGAGAGTATATCCTGTCTATGGACCTATCCTTATCTAAGATAATGCCTTTTGCCATAACACAAAAAGGGTAAAATAAGTTTTCATAACTGAAGATGTTGGCTATGACATGGTCTACCCAAAGTCCAGATTTCAATCCAATTGAGAATCTTAAGAAGATCATCAATAATAAAGGGAAGCGAAATTAATGCCAACGACTGATTTGTGGCAAAAGGAAAGGGACAAAATTACACCTGAACAATATGAAAAATTAGTCAAGTTCTGTGACTATAGATATACAGAGGTAATTAAAAGATATCACTTGTACATGATTTCTTAATATTCTTTATCAATATATATTATTAATATTTTGTACTGGGGATCGTCTTATACGGCAATTCTAAAAAAGAAGAAACCTTAAATTCTGAGTGATATTTGTCGGTCGTCTAACCTCGGTCAGAGTGCGTGTTGTGAGGGAGAATATTTCCCTACAAGTTTGGACTCGGCCGTCGGACGAACGACATAAAAATACTCCTACATCAAGAGGAGTAGGACTAGTAGTAGCTATGTGAGCCTCAGCTAGGGCGGCCCTGGATCGTTTGAATAGCGAGCGGTACATGGGCCAGGTAATTAGACATAAGTTAAGTAAGATGTCTTCCGAAGCTGTGAACTTGGGCGCAGATCTGCGCAGGGAAGAGGTCCGTCGAGGTGGCGATCGATTCATTCGTGAAGTCAAGTCCCCGGAGGGGCATACTCTTCGGGCCACTGATGGCATGTGCGAGGCGTTTCGGCGCCATTTCGAACGCCGGTTTACCAAGGAGCCTGGTCTCCGTGAGGAGGAGTTTCGCAGCTATTTGAATGACTTTCCTCGGCTTTCGCCGACTGAAGCGGCTAGCTGCGAGGGAGAGATTACGGAGGGCGAAGTCTACGTGGTTTTGAAGAAGGTCGGCAGAGGCAAGTCGCCCGGTCTGGATGGTTTGCCCTATGAATTGTACTTGAGGCTGTCGCACATCTTTGTTCCGATTTTTGACAGCAGTGTTCAACAACTGGTTTCGGTCGGGGTCCATCCCCAATCGGATTACCAGGGGCGTGATCACTCTGTTGAAAAAGGGCAAAGGTGGTGGGGGGAACCTAGATGATTATAGGCCCATAACTCTGCTAAACAAAGAGTTAAAAGATTATGGCCAAGATCCTGCAGGAGCGTTTGCAGTCAGTTGCCGAGTCTCTGTTGGGACCTGAGCAGACTTGTTCTGTGAGGGGCCGAACAATTCAGAGCAACCTGCATCTGATCCGCACGATCATAGAGGGTGTAAAGACGACGAAGAAGCCGCGCTGATCAATTTGGATCAGTCAAGGCATTTGATAGGGTTGACCATCGCTACCTTGCTGCTGTCCTGCAGGCCGCTGGATTCGCACCCAACTTCTGCCGCTGGATTAGCCTCCTGTGTCGCCCCCCAGTGCTGTGGTACAGGTGAACGGAAGGTTGTCGGACGCTTTCGTGCTGTCTAGGTCGGTTCGTCAGGGTTGTCCGCTGTCGCCTCTCCTTTATGCTTTGGCGTTGGAGCCTCTCCTTCGTCGGCTGAAGGACGAGACCGGCAGTCCGGCCCTACGTGGAATTGCCGTGCCTGGAGGGTCTCGAGCCAGGGTTTCCGCGTACGCCGATGACGTATCTGCTTTCGTGTCGTCCCGCAGCGACATTGAGGCGGTACAGAAGGCGCTTGATCGGTACGAGAAGGTGACAGGGGCCAAGATAAACCGCGACAAGTCGTCCGGCTTGCGGTTAGGTGCCTGGAAGGGGTCGATCTTCGGGCCGCTTGGTTGGACGGACGGTCCTGTCCGCATTCTTGGAGTGTGGTTTGGGCCTGACCTCCAGCTGGAGAAGAATTGGTCTGAAGTACGTGCAAAGGTCGATTCTGCCGGTCAGACTTGGAATCGACGGCGGTTGTCCGTGAAGGGCAGGGCGGAGGTGTGTGTTACATACATTTTCCCCTGATTCTTTATCGGTTGTCCGTACTTCCTCTCTGTAAAGACCGCAGGAAGGTGCTCGAGCGATCGCTATCCTCCATTTTATGGAGGGGACGCGTGAACAGGGTCGACAGACGAGTCTGCACCAAACGTCCGTGTCATGGGGGCTGGGAATGCCGCACCTTATGAGTCACATCCGTGCCTCTAGGTTGGCTTTCCTACGCCGCGCATTGAC